TTCTAAGCCACAGGAACAAGTAAGCGTCTGCAGAGGTGAATGATCTGTCATCTATGACTGAATTGTTACGTTTCCCAGTTTCACTGTTTTGCTTGCTTTCATGCATGATTAATAGCCAAGCCACAAAAGATCAATCATGTATATGAGGCTAAACAGTTTACAGATTTTTGTTGTAAGGTTGCTCATGCATTGCAAACTAATAACATTGTTAAGGAGTAACTCCTAGCTGCACGGATAAATTTAGTGCTTGGGAAAGTTAAAAACATGCCATGGACTGTTAATGTACTGATTTCTCCACCCAAATCCATCAGTGACAACTTGCACTGTGGTCTTCTCCCTCTCTAAGGATGTGAGTGCCTGCTGTGTCACTGTAGCAGTTTTGTCTTTTCTGCAAAGAAGAGTAAGATCAGCCCTTTAATCCCAGTTATTCTTTAGGTATAAGCAGCCACGTCAACAACAGATGCTAATAAGAACAATAATAGGAATTACGCACTATCCATGTTACATACAGGGTGCTAAAGGAAGGAAAGTGGAGGTCTTTTGAAGAGCAGAAGCCTGACCCAGAGCAGGAAATAGCATGCAAGGTGATGGAATTATGAACAGGATCAACTCCTGCCTGTTGAGTCTCCTGCACACTCAGCATCTTCAATTCATCCACAGCTGCTGCTGTCACTGGCACGCTCAATCCCAGTAAAGTGCTATGAATAATGCATTACCTTGAAGGAAGGGAACCAACTGTTTCTGAGTTTGACAAGCTTTTTTATGCTTCTTGTTTTGTTGCTAATTTAAGCATGTTGCTATTTCCACTAGCACACGTATAATTTTGCAAAAGATCACCAGAACCCAAAAATGAAGCCAGAAGCTCTGAGACTGCATTGGGACAGGGAGTTAGCTCTCCTCAGTGAGCTCTGAGCAGTCAGCAGAGGTGAGGTAGTGGCCTGAGACTGGAAAAGGAAAACCCAGAAAATGCCATAAGCTTGCAATGCTGCTGTTGGATTACAGACTTCTTGGCAGGACAGTTTGCACGAAGCATGCAAGTGTAACAGCTTGTGGCAGCTGAAGAATCTGAAAGCTGTCCAGCAGTTAAACTTGCCCCAACAACTGATGCAGGTTTCATACTCATTTGCAATTCAAAACAGTGATTTTGGGTGGTATTTTTTTTCCTTCATTTTTAAATCGTCTGGGAGAAGGATCTATTTAGAGGAAGAAATACGCAATGTGAAATCGGTTAGCAGAGTTTAAGTGCAGTGCTATGATACTTCTAAATGCATGCAACGTCATGGCTCTGCACTGCTTGCTTTATACGGAAAAAAACTGAAAGAGGGATGTTAATGGAAAACAGAGAAAAGGTGGTTATACATGGGATACCTCTGCTGGGCTTGGTAAGGAACACCATAAACACAGGAGGCGATAGCATTGTGAAATGGCATATGCACATACATGAACCGCAGTAGGACCTGCTAATGACTCAACTGCAAGGATTTCTTCTTTGGAATAGGCAATTCCCACAGAAAATTTCCAAGGTCTTAAAACCTTTGGTTTTCTGTTTGCAGGGGCATGTTTCCAGGCTCCAAAATGCCTTTCGAAACAGACTCAGATCTGAAACTGGATGTGGGAATGAGCAGTGAAACGAAAACCACAACCACAGTTAATGACTTTGGCTCTTTGGAATTAAAAAAGAAATATTCTGTGGGATCCTGCAAGAAAACCACACTTTGAGAGTCCTGGCTTAGCAGCAATTCTCCCATGCAGTGGCTTTTGTCTTTGAATGGTAGATATTACCAGAGTGATGTAGAACAAAATTTATCCACCACTCTACCACCTCCATCACCATTTCCTTCTTACTCTGAGTTCCTGACCTCCATGCACTGCATTACAGAAGAGACTGTGTGATTGGGAGCTTCAAGCAGAGGGAAAAATCTGGCACAAGATCTGTAAAAAGTGCTCTGGGGGAATGACTGTTGCCTCTGTTTACTTAGGCCTCATGACTTTTGTACAAGAAGTTGGCCACTGGGTCTGCCTCTGTGGTCAGCCCATGGTCTCTGGTTCCTCTGAGCCTGGAGCAGAGGGAAGCTGCACAGAACAAGTTTGTGGCCAAGAGACCGATGACCCCAGCTAGGGTCCTCACATCATCCTTCCTTTGCCCTGTACAGGCAATATGCAGTAGATCTCCTCCCTCTATCTTCAGAGAGGGTGGATTTGTTTCATGCAGAAACTCAAGACAGCAGATGTTGCTACTTGCAGCTATGTGAAGAAACACAGGTGTGTAAATTCTTAATCAGAGGAACAAAAGATCACCTGTTTTATAGGAAGGAAAATATTAGAAGAAAATTCCAACTATAGTATGTGATTTCTGCATCCATTGCAGCACCTCTAACCTCTCCACCTCATCATCCCAAGGTATAAAAACTCTGAGAACCTTTTTATTTATGAAGACAATGCTAGGCAAATGAGAAATGTTCCTAAAAGGAACTAAAAGGAAGCATTGTTGAAGAAATGTTGAGTCTGACAGCCATCTAATTGACTTCACAGCATTAACCTTGATAGTAAGTTTCATTTCACTTCATAAAGGTGTCCAATGAAATGAACTTGCAACCTAATATTAAAGGTAGCAGATGCAACTACTAAGTTAAAGAGTGCTGAGAATTTGGTTTACACTTTTCTCACATTGAGACAGAAAAACGTCCCTAGAGAGCCCACACTTTCTTATTAATTTCCCTTGTCATAGCACGGAAACAAATAACACAATCCTTAGCATCTGTGCTGAGGTTCTGGACACATTTCCTTTGCACAAGCTTATAAAAAGCAGAGACTGTATATTCTTATACAGTAAATCTACCCCTAATTTGGGGAGCGAGATGATTTATTTGCAAACACTGTCATTGTCTCCATGGTGATGCTGACACCAATTTTCAGTTTTTTCTCTGATCTCTGCAATTATAAATTTCCTTATAGAATAAACAGGCACTTGAGAGGATGAGGATGGTGATACAAATTTTTTTAGATTGCTTCTCCAATTTGCTAGTAGAATTAGCATTTATTTATCATTTCTCATGAAAATGTTTCCATAGATCTACCAAGATCAGCCACAGAATTAACCTAGACATTTCCTGTTGGCAACTGTGAAAGACAGGTTATTGAACTACAAGCTTTTGGTCTGAACCTCTATATTTGTTCTCTTCACAGAGGACTATGGGTGGTGAGAAGAGAAAAAGAGTTTGGCCAGAGAGATTGGCACTCTGACATCAGCACCTACTGAACAATGAGGATGTGCCAGTGAAGTCAGAATGAAATCTCAATCTATTGATAGCTATTTGAAAAAAAATTCACCCTAGGGAATCAGGTAATAACATCAAAACCACAGCTTGATTAACTAGGAAGTGGTGTTCCTCTTCCAGCGGTGAAACATGAACTTTGCTCCATTTATGATTCCTGCATGTCTCACTGGTGTTCCCAGGGAAAAAATGCATGCCACATCCCCTGTTATGTGCAAACTAATGGCTCTAGGCTAAAATTTGTCATCCTATGCAGAAAATTCTCAGATCTGGAGTTTGGATGGCAATTATGCAACCTCAAGCTCAAACAGTTTTTGTTAAGTCATTTTTCAGATAGGCAGTAGACCTGCAAATGCTGTTTATCAAAGCAGTTAAAAAATTAACTCCTCCAATCCCAAGGATGCTCTAATATCAATGGAAGAAATCTTTAACATCAGTGTTCCTCTAGAAAGCGAGGGAATTTCCATTTAAGTAAGTTTGTGGGCTAATTCCCATGCATCTACCCTCTTCAGGAAAGAAAAAAACCACACCTGCATAACAAGTTCAGATGTCCTCTACATGCTGAAGTCTGTATAGGTTCAACATAGTCCTTTCTCATCCAGAAAGGCTTCATGGAAAGGAAGCCTGAAACATGTTCAGCACAGGCTAGCGGTGCCACACTGACTTGCTCCCACTCTAACATGGGCTACTGGTCCAAGGGGAAAATACAGGACTGTCATTCCCTCCACAGAAAGATCTAAATGGATAATTTGGAGATGTGGTGAAAGTTATTTACTTATTTTCAAAAGGTGCCTCAAGTTATAACTACTAAATTCATAAGTAAACTCTAATTTCTGGTCTGGGTTATAGAAATGCAGAGCTTCTCATGCCTCCTAGTGCTGTTGAAAGTCTTCTCTTTGATCAGGCCCATGTACAGCTAAGCCACTTTGGAATCACTGCACAAGTATTAACTAACAATCTGCAAGAGCAGAACAACATCTGCCCACTTCAGTACGACCTTAAAGGAAATACACCTGCAGAGGAAAACTGACTGCCGTTATTTCTTAAAAGGAAAACCTGAGAAATAAACAATGCCTGAAAATGTGCCTATTAGGGGACAGATCCACATCTTGTTCATTGGATTCATTGAAGACAGGAAAGCTATGTTAATTTTCAACAGCAAAGAACTGGCCTTTTTTTTAAAATTGACATGGATTTATCTAAATCTTGAACTGCCATTTGCATTGAACCTGGGAAAGTATTGCCTTCCCCTTTTCAATGTTTTTTTTGGTCTACATTAGGTAAAGCAGGGGACCTTTCAGCCAATCCAGCAATAGAGGATATTTCCAGATGAGCATCATTAATAACAGATAAGATTTTCAATAATCAAACTGGATTAGGAGCACAAGTCCTATTTAATAATTGTGGAAAACCAGTATCCAGAGAGCTTCCAGTGTCTGCTGGAATTCCTCAGAGTAAGTTTTCACAAGATCAAATTTTTTAAAAAAGTCCAGGACTTCTGATAATTTAGTGGGAAACAAGCCCCACCAAACAGAACTTTTCTGTTTGTCAACACATTGATCTTCTACACTTTGTTTGCATTGTCCTGGAAGGACTGGACATACAGCACTGTAGGACAAATACTGAACATGACTTTAAGCAAGACAATGCTCATCTAAAGCTTTAGCATAAACTTCAGGTAAAGAGATTTACCAAAGTGTTTTTTACTGTAAAATAGCGATATTTTTGTTGCCAAAAAAGTCAAAAAATGACTTCTTCCCATTTGTATAACAATAAGGTTTGATAGGTAGAATGTATGAAACATACAGTAGCTTCTTCTGAAAAGCTAATCTAAACTCACTCAGCTTACAGTATGTGGAATGTAATTATCCAGAAAGTGAAATATGTATAAAAATAGGTAAAATTCCTACAATATTTGTATTGAATTATAATTCCTCCTGCCAGGAAGGTTACAACAGGTCTACAGTATATGTATGAAATGTTTGTTCATAAAGTTAAAAAACATTATTACCTTACTGAAGAACACATTAAACGTAGGAATGCATAATCAGAACTGACTCTCAATTCTGCTTAGCTGGTGCAAATCTACAGAGAACCATCATCCTTTCTGCACAAAACAAAACCAACCTCTAATTTGACAGCTGTTTTTTTTTGTTTGTTTGTTTGGTTTTGTTTGTCATAGAGGGGCCAGACTGAAGTTTATGAAAGAATTTCCTCTGGAAGTGGAAGTACGTTGTTTAATTTTTTTTTCCCTATCATCTCCACTTTGTTTATTGACAGCAGTCACCCACCTTTTAAAATGATTATTGCCTGACATTACATGGAGCTTTTACTGCTTGTTCAGAACAAGGCAGTGAAATAGAAAGAACCTCCAACTCCCCTGTCATGACCCAGTTCTGGGCTTGTGCTTTTTTGACGAGTCTTTGATCTGCGGCAGCCCTCATAGGCTAGTCTCCCGGAGGAACATGGTGCCAATGTTGTAAGAAACCTTTCTCACTCTGGCAGATGTGATGGAGGGTTTTGGCGGCTTCTGACCACTGCTGACCTCGAGGAAGTAACAGATCCCAGGAATTTCCTTTGGAAAATTTTCTGGAAGCTCTTCACGGGAACGAGGGATAAAAATAAAATTTTCTTCCTTTTTCAAAAGCCTAGGAAAAAAACCAAAACAGAGGGATAAAAAAACCTGTAAAACACAGTCCAGAAACACCTCTTTGGAAGAGATTGATCCTATGTTGTTCCAGATAAAAAATTAGTTAAAAGTATTATGTAACATCTACAAAAATCCTAACCTGGGATCCTTAGCTGATATTTATTAACTTAGCATCATCGACTTCAAGGAGCTCTGTTGATTGAGATCAGCTGAGGAGATGGCCCAAATAAACACATTCTCTGAAAATCGGTGTCAGCATTCAGAAAGTCATGTACCAGAAAGGGAACCAAATTCATAACGATCATTATCCATTGTATATCATTTGGCTCACTTAAAACACTCCAGTCTGGCCAGTTGTACAGAAATGAATGAGCTCTCACAGGTGGGTCAGTTTGTGCCCTTCTCATACTCAGTAGTATTGTATTTCATAAATTAGGTTCAAATACAGCAAATCCAGCTTCAACAAAAACCAGAATGAAATCTGACATTATTCATCAAAAGTGCCCATGGGTTTAATCTGTGCCACCTGGTTGGGGTCAAAAAGGGATACAGGTTCACGGGAGCGATGAAGCCATCCTCCAGGCATGCCCATACAAGTGGTACAACATCACAGACCTGACTATACTGCCTTTTGCCATTTGTCATCTTCCACCATAGTGGAGAAATCTCTGTCTGGGTATATCTGAAAGTTTAGGGCCTCTTTATCAAGTATCTTACCTGAATCTAGTTGGACTTGTAAAATAAAGAAAATAACTATACACATTTTTTTTTTTTTTGTTTCCAGCAAATTAAGTTAGGAGTACTCAGTCCCTTGCAGCATTGAAAAGAGCAGTTTTGAGATAATGGTAAATTCTGAGCACAGCTGGATATACGAAAGCAGTCTTCATCTTTTCCCCTCGGAAGATATTTATTCTTTCTCTCAATTAGTCTTATTTGAAGCTCAAAAACATCAGTGGAAAAAACTTTATTAGCTTCAGTGGATTTTGTAATAGGTTGTTTATTTAATGTCTCTAAAGCTGATTTCTGAGAAGTAAATGAATGAAGGAATCCTGTTGCCAGGAGAATTTTCCAGGATTCTCAGCACATGTAATGGCACTTCCTTTACTGAATATTTTTTGTGGGTTTTGGCTGAGACAATCTGTGTGAACTCATTGAAATATAAAGGCTTTTTTTCCCAGCTTTTAAATAATCAGTTGGTTATAAATACAACAATGTTCTTGCCTTTGAACTTATATGGTGGTCTTTGTTTGGCATGTGGTTTGAATGTCATAAGCTATTTTCCAGACTGTCAATTTTATGATCAAAATACTGTAATCTTTTCTAAACTGCATGAGAGTTTGCAGAGTACTCTACAGAGAAGCCTCTCTCTTTTTATCTGTGCAGTACTTGATGTAAATATTTTGTGGTTTAAAACTACAGGCTTAATACACTGAAATAACTCCTTGCTGCTTCCCAAACTAGATTTCAGCAAGCAACAGTTGACCTCTTAGAACTCCATGAGCTAAATTTCTAAGCTTTCACTGCAGTCATTCTTCCCCAAAATGACTATTCACTATGGAGCATCTGGCATTGCTAAAAATCAATGTTTTCCTTCTCAGAGCCTAACATTATCTAATTGTAATGACAGTTATACAAGTCTGAAACTGTAACATATATATATATATATATTCTTTGATTCAGTGCAGGGCTGGCACTGAGTTTAGTTGCTATTTCACACTATTTTCCTCATAGAACAAAAGTGAAAGACATTAATTAAAGGCCTTATTTTCACCTGTTTTGTGAATTGTAACTTGGTTGCAATGAAATGCTCTGAGAGTATCAAAGGTGCCAGGAGTGATGGGTGACTAACCAATTAGTCCTTCTAAGCTTTCACTGCAGTCATTCTTCCCCAAAATGACTATTCACTATGGAGCATCTGGCATTGCTAAAAATCAATGTTTTCCTTCTCAGAGCCTAACATTATCTAATTGTAATGACAGTTATACAAGTCTGAAACTGTAACATATATATATATATATTCTTTGATTCAGTGCAGGGCTGGCACTGAGTTTAGTTGCTATTTCACACTATTTTCCTCATAGAACAAAAGTGAAAGACATTAATTAAAGGCCTTATTTTCACCTGTTTTGTGAATTGTAACTTGGTTGCAATGAAATGCTCTGAGAGTATCAAAGGTGCCAGGAGTGATGGGTGACTAACCAATTAGTCCTTGGGAAATTCCTCCACTACTGTGGCTTGTGATAGACTCCACATCCTTATATTAGGTGTACTGTTTGAATCAGTTTCTTATCGTCAGAAATTGTCTAGCTGACCTTTATAGGGATAACATTTCAGCTCCCAAGCAAGCATGGCAGGAAACCTTTACCAAATGCTAATGGAAGCTACTTATGATCATATTCTATCCTACTTACTTTAGTTTATACTTTTAAGAAAAAAAAAATATTTGCTGGCTCTCGTAATAATACTATTAGAAAGACTTTAATCCGGACAAAAATAGCCTCTTGTTAGCATTCTCCTAAAGAACAGGTTCTTCAGATTACTTAAATATACTGGTCCTGACATTCGGTTTCCCAGGCTGAGAATGAGATCATGGTTCAGAAATTGCCTCTGATTTCTTACAGCTTTGTGTATACACTAAAGAAATAAGCTATCTGCTAATCCTCAGTGCTTATCAGTGAGGACATTTTTCTGCAGGAATCTTCCCTCTTATATTTAGGCCATTCATGATGTTAAAAAGAAAACAGTAGCAGTTGATGGCCATGGCCCAGATCTACAGCCCTTTCTAAGTTTCTTGTCTTCCTTTTCATGGGTACAAAGAACCCCAAAAGATACTTTTGCCAAGCAGCAAAATGAATAGTGCAGATCCTCAGCATGGGCAAGGCCAAGCCACACAATGTCCTGAGTTGGAAGGGACCCACAAGGATCATCGAGTCCAACTCCTGTCCCTGCATAGGACAACCCCCAAATTCACACCATATGTCTGAGGGCGTTGTCCAAATGCTTCTTGAACGTTGTCAGGCTTGGCACTGTGACTGCCTCCCGGGGGAGCCTGTTCCAGTGTTCCACCACCCTCTGGGTGAAGATCCTTTTCCTAATGTCCAACCTAAACCTCCTCTGGCATATCTTCCTGCTGTTCCCTCAGGTCCTATCACTGGTCACCAGGGAGAAGAGGGGCGCTTGCCCCTCCTCTTCCCCTTGTGAGGAAGCTGTAGACCGTGATGAAGTCTCCCCTCAGTCTCCTCTTCTCCAGGCTGAACAGACC